GCCCCGAATGTCCGCGCGGCTGCGCATGGACGAAATGAGGGACGCAGTAGCAAGTCCCGTCGACTTTTGGGTCTCAATTGTAGCTCGCAAGCCGTCGAGTGGTGGGAAAAGAGGCATCGGAAGTTTTCGAGAAAAGAGGACGCGACGGAAGCCTTTTTTCATTCTAGGAAAACCCGATCACATTAGACGTGCCAGTGCTGGAGGCGAAGCTTGATTTTTTTGTGTGGCCTGCGGCCAATGGCGGACGGCGTCCAAACCTGTGCACTGTACCGCTTTGTCGAGCTCCGCGACAGAACTGTTCGAGAACCTCTATCTCAGTGGGCACAAAATGACCCTAGAAGTCGACGTGCCCTAAAACCCCAATCATCAATCAATCAACTTTATCTCTGTTACTTCGGAAGTTCCCCCCGCCCCCCCCCCCCGCTTTACTTCCGAGAAAACGAGGGCAGATAACGAGAGGCTTACTTCCGAATAAAGAAGGCAAACACAACGAAAGATGGGTCCACATTTACGTTGCCAATGACAATCAAGTGAATGGCGGTAAGCAAACGAGTTTCCAGAACTTGGCCTGCGATGGTCATGTGCGTTGTGTTTGTTGTCTCGGTTGTCGCCGCACTTTGTGGTAGCGCGTGTGGTGTGTTCGTTGACCGCCTGAGCCATTACTGTCATGTTAATGGGGATTAAGGTCCAGTCGCCCGCACTGCACGGACGAAGACGTGGCAGCGCTGCATACTTTATGAGCAGGGAGCACCTGGGAAGTGTTCCCTCGGGTCTGTATTGCCGTTTCTTTATGGTCGGTCGTTTGTGGATGGTATGCAGGTATTGACCACCGTTCTGACCGTCTGCCCACCTGGCTGTGCGGCAGCGACTCTGCAGAGGTGTGAGGCTGTAAATGGAGAAATTGCCATCGAAACGTAAAACGGGTTTTCTTTTGATGAGATAATGCACAAAACAGTCTTAAAGCAAAACAAAAGTTTACAAAACCTACTTAAACGTCGTAAGGCTTACGTTAACGTATCGTAATCGTAAAATTATTTTGGAATTTTATCGTAATTTTTCGTGATGGTAAAATTTGACGTGCGAAAGCTTGGCCATCAATGCTTGGATGATCTAGAACATGCAGGATCGGCTTCAGAGCCATGCGCCGCTGTATAGCCAAGCTTCGTCGAACGCAGGATGGAGGGCGCTGTTGACTTTCCAGCTGGGCAAGACCATGGTGTGCGACACGTATCTCCGAACTTGTCACAGCTCATGACGCGATCGGATCGCATCTCCACCGTGTGCTGGTGCTCCACTCGAGCGGCAGGCCGTGTCAGGCGCACCCCGGCATGCCGAAAGCGCCGGAGGGAGCGTCGTCACCTCAGAGGGAGCGTTGTCCCAGACAGGTGTTGGTTCCCTGAGCAAACTCAGAAGGCGGCCTGGCGTGATCTCCCGTCACGTTCGCCGTCAATGTCATCCCAACTGACAGCCGACAAACAGACTGACAAGCTGACAACAAACGGCTGACAGCAAACGACAGGAGCTGTCTGCCCTGCTGTCGGCTTGTGCCGGGCGTGTCAGCTCAGGCTAACCGGTTTGTCTCTTGCCGATTCAGATCTGGCCATGGTGGAGGCCCCAATGGGCACCGGGATCGAGTACGACTACCTGATCAAGTTCCTAGCGCTGGGCGACTCGGGCGTCGGCAAGACGTCCTTCCTCTGGCAGTACACCGACGGCGTCTTCCACTCGCGCTTCATCTCCACTGTCGGCATCGACTTCAGAGAGAAGCGTCTGGTGAGTGACGATGCGGGGGGCTACGGCTTGTGGTGCTTCGAGGGAGGGGACAGAATCCGTACTAGGGCAGCATTGTCTGATGCTTCCAAAGAGGGGACAGGATCAGTACCAGGGCAGCAGCTTCTGGTGCTCCGAGGTAGGGGACAGAATCTGTACCAGGGCAGCAGCGTCTGGTGCTACAAGAGAGGGGACAGAGTCAGTACGAGGGCAGCAGCGTCTGGGCTTAGAGGGAGGGCACAGAGTCTGGTAAATGGGCTCGAGAGGAAGAGAAAGAAGCGAAGAGAAAGAGAAACAGAAATGGGGACAATGCGGGTGTTGTGGTTGACGTTGCATAAAAACTACCTGATTCGTGTTGTTTTCCACCAAAAGTATACATCAATATTAATTTGAGGCAGTTTAAAAAGATGAGATAAAGTGTGTTGCGTTCGGCTTATCTCCTGATTTTGGATTATTGAAGAGTTTCCCTGATCCCCTGGCTGCCGTTTGGCTTTGTGTAAGCCTATAGTGTCGCATAACGCTGTTGAATGAAACGGCTGGGCTGTCGAAGCGGCAGTGACCGGTCAGTCCGGGCGGTGCCGGGCAGCGGGTGTGCTGGTCCGGCTTATGAGGGCTGCCCGGCCCGGCTGGTGCGGGCTGCCCCGGCCTAGCCGGTGCGGGCTGCCCCGGCCCGGCTGGTGCGGGCTGCCTCGGCCCGGCTGTGCGGTGGTGGGCTGCCCCCGGCCGGCTGGTGTGGACTGCCCGGCCCGGCTGGTGCGGGCCTGCTGCTGCGGGCTCCGCCGGCTGATGGGGGCTGCCCGGCCGGCTGTGTGGGCTGCCCGGCCCGGCTGGGCGGGCTCCCGGCCCGGCTGGTGCGGGCTGCTCGGCCCGGCTGATGGGGTTCGGCCGGCTGTTGTGGTGCCCCGGCCCGGCTGGGCGGGCTGCCCCGGCCCGGCTGGTGCGGGCTGCCCTGGCCCGGCTGGTGCGGGCTGCTCCGGCCCAGCTGGTGCGGTGTGTGCCGGCCGGGCGCCGCGCGGCCGCCTCCTGACGCGCCGGTCCCCGTTTCACGGACCCGCTGCAGCTGTACCGGCCGAGGGATGCCGAGGGCGCGCCGCAGGGCAAGAGTCAGCGCATCCACCTGCAGCTGTGGGACACGGCCGGCCAGGAGAGGTCAGACAGGTCGCCGCCAGATGGCGCTCCGCGGGGCTGCCGCCCGACCCGGGCCCGTGCACGTGGCACCGCAAGGGGGGGGGAGTTAGGCATGGACCACTGTGCGGCTGGAGTCACTCGTTGGTAGTCTTTAGCTGACGGGCTTGCATGGGTAGCATTTTGGAGTAATGATAGAATTTCACCGCCACACAGCTGGATTTTATAGTACTAACTGCATTCCTCACCGCCTGATATAGCGTAGAGCAGTCGGTCTACTGCTGCCACAGCCTGAGGCGCAGCCCATTTGCCTTCCTCCGCGCCTTGAGTTCTGTCTTGAAGCTGTATCTGCCGCACCTAGCGGATACAGCTCCCCTCGCCCATGATAGTGATGCCGGTGGTGAACTCTCACCTAACAGCCGCGCTAGACTAGTACTAACAGCGATGCGCCAATAGCTCGGTAACGCCGCCTTACTAACCAGCGGGGCATGGCCTAGGTAGATGCTAGAGCTGCCACTTCTGAGCCCGCACACCCGCACAACGTGGATCAAAGGCCAGCAGGTCCGTAAGAATTGGTAACGAAACCAAACTGACCTGTTCAAACAAGGGACAGGTTTGGCCTATCAGGGGTGTCCCCAGTGCTCAAAATGTGCCATCCTGCACCGATCGTGTGCTATCAGATGCTTTTTTTGTCGATGGACCAGGCAAAATTGAAATGCTGCTGCAATTGTTCAGAGATGACGGTCTCAAATTTGTGACCGGATAGAACCCTGGACATGACCTTTAAAAATGTGCGCATTTGACATATTATCAGCTATGAAAAGTTTTGCAACGTTCCCCGCGTATTGCTTCTGTCATGCTCTCCGTAATGCCGCTCTGGGGCTACATCCCCCGACCTGCCAAACGAGCGACAAGTGTCAGCTGCTTAAGCAAAGATCGCTGAAATGTGAAGCATAACGTCTCGCTGATAAATTGTGCTGTAGCAGTGCGATGGCTGCGACAGAGATGACTATAAGCTGCGGTTTAACCCTGAGTGCACGCTGACTTAACGCCGTTACTTAGTCCCCCCCCCCCCGCTTTCCCCTTGTGCTAGAATGCGCCAACAAAAATTGCTATCTGAAACCATTAGCTTTAAAAGTGCAGGCACCAAAAAATTTGAATTTCAGATCCGAGCGGACTTTTTGAAGAAATCTTACGGTACGTAAAAATGACGTAAGAAAGTCTGACGTTTTTTGGATCTGAACCTCATGGCTGATAGGGACTTCCCATTTCGGACCGCGGGCTTCAGCAGGCTTTGGGCATCTCAGCAAGTGGCAGCTCTAGCAGGTGCTGCGACTAACCGGTCTGACCGCGGTAGCGCTAGCCGGTATGGTAGCGGCTGTGGTAGCACTGGCCACTGCTCTGGCATGCGCCGCACGCCGCCTGACTAACGTCTGCCGGCGGGCCGGGCCGCAGATTCCGCAGCCTCACCACTGCTTTCTTCCGCGATGCCATGGGCTTCCTGCTGCTCTTCGATCTGAGCAGTGAGCAGTCGTTCCTGGCCATCCAGGGCTGGCTGGACCAGCTCAAGGTTAGCGGCCGGCGCGCGGCCCACCTCCGACGCAGCGGCTTCCCCCGGCCCGGCGCGCGCGCGCTGCCCACCTCCGACGCGGCGGCGCGGCCCGGCTTCCTCCGGCCCGACGCGCGCGCGCCTCGTGGTCCTCGCCGGCCTGGTGATGCGTTGGATTGTTTTTTTTTCTGGTTGTATTGCGGTTGTATTGCTTTACAATGGGAGATTATTACTGGGGTTTGGGTCCTTTCGTCCTTGGGTTTCTTGGGTGGCCCACTGCTTTGACGACGGAAAAGTTAGATTCCCTAGGACACGTGTTCATAAGCTGATGTATTTGGTTGCGGAGATGCAGGAACAAATGAAGCCATTCAAGAATGCAAGCGTTCTGTTCCTCTCCACGCACACTTGGATCCTCACATGTGCGGACCGTTCGCTTCCGGTCATTATCCACCCATACGAAATCAGAGGTAACGATGCAGTGCACGGTAGACCAAAAGAGGATGATGCGGGTTAATGCCAAACAACGCCTAATGGGCCTGGATTAGGTTTTCCCGGATAGCATTTTCCTCAGGCGTCATTGCCACGCATTCATCTTCATGGCCTGCTCCCGCCCATTTCTTTCCATGGCCCATTTGCATGCCCCAGACGAGAGGTGGTACGAATCGAAACGCATGAGTAGGAATGAGCAGTCCGTGGCTGGCTTCCCCGGGCGGCGTTGAGATCATGTTCCCGCCAGCACCGGGTAAAAATGTTGTCCCCTGATAAACCTTTCCTTGATTGTCCGAGAAACGCAACGTCTTAGTTTGGAATCGAACCCACGTATGCCGTGTCACGCGCACATGGAATCAGCTGCCCGCTGTGGGAGACGGAACTGCACGCGAAGCAGGGACGCCCCCTGGGCGCCGGGGACGTGCGGTGACACCCCGCTGCGCCCGCAGACGCACGCCTACTGCGATAACCCCGACATAGTGCTGTGCGGCAACAAAGCGGACCTCGAGGAGCGAGCCATCACGGAGGACCGGGCGAAAGAAGTGGCCGACAAGCACGGGTGAGTCCCGGCCCGCGCGGCCAGCCCCCACCGGCCGTCCGCCTCCTCGTGGACAGGCCAGCGGCTGGTCCGGACGCCAGATAACTCGACTGGCGTCCGAGGATGTGGGATGCGTCCGAGGATGTGGGATGCCGTCCGAGAATGTCGAATATGGTCCGAGGATGTGGGATGTCGTCCGAGGATGTGGGATGTCGTCCGAGGATGTGGGATGTCGTTTGAGGATGTGGGATGTGGTCCGAAGATGTGGGATGTGGTCCGAGGATGTGGAACGCGGTCCGAGGATGTTGGATGTGGTCCGGGGATGTGGGATGTCGTCTGAAGATGTCGAGTGTCGCCGTCTGAAGATGCTGGGTGTCGCCGGAGGATGTTGGATGTCGCCCAAAGATGTCGTCCGAAGATGTCGGATGTCGTCCAAGAACGTCGGATATCGAGTGCTGCTCGGATGTTAGGTCGGTCTGGGGCGCGAAGCCCCTGCCGCGTGGATTGCTGCAGCGGTTCTCTACTGATCCTCGTCATTGCACGGGATCTCGCTAAAGGTCGCGGCCGCCAAGGGTTGCATTTGAATGCTTAAACTCGCGGAAAGGGGCCTATAAGCTGGGGATGTGATTCCGTACGCCCAAGGTAAGCAGCCTGGTCCCCAACGTTGCAGATGTGGTTTTCGAGCAATTGTGGCCTATGGAAAGAACAGCGCGGCGTAGACCTCACACTACTCTAGGTCTGGCGATTTTTGGGAGTTGACGCCTTTATGTGTAGCGAAAGTCAAATACTGCTTATGCATCGCGTCCTTCGGAACGGGAAGAGCGAAGCACACCTGCATGATCTGATATAGAAAACTGAGTCGTGCCGGCGAACTGGAGCAACGGATCATCCCGTCTCGCATGTCTATTCGTGTACTTGCTGTTGTTTGCTACACCTAGCATAACTAACAAAACTTCACCAGCAACGTAGCTTTGTGTTTTTTGTCACGTTTTACGGGAGACTTTTGAGCTCTGTTCGGCACCTGACGAGACCAGCTGGTATGAAGTACTACCGTCGCTGTGAAGCTCGTTGTCGCTGTCGAGGGCAGTCGCTGTTGGCAGTCGTTGGTTGGCGTGTGGAGCCGGCGCACCGCAGGGCGAGCCCTGTGCGGGCCTGAGATGACGTGCCGCCGCGTTGCAGCTTGACCTACATCGAGACGTCGGCGGCCACCGGGCAGAACGTGTGCACCGCCGTCGACATGCTGCTGGACGCCGTGATGCGGCGCATGGAGCAGGCCGCCGACCAGTCCACGCTGCCCGGCCGGCGGGGGAGGCCGGCGCCCGACGTGGCCCACATGCAGCTCACGCCCGTGGACGAGTCCAAGTGCAGCTGCTGATGGCGCCGCGGCGCCGGCCGATATCAGCGGCCGGCGCTGGGCGAGTGATGCACGATACCGCGTCTGGCGGCGGGCTCGCTCCGGTCGCAGCTGTACCAAGTGCAATTAGCGCCTCCGGCCGTCGCCGGCGACCTCGAGCTAATTGCGTGGCCCGTTGATTTGGTGACCGATTGGCGCCGCGGCGACCGCAGCAGGTGCGCGCCCGCGCGATCGTGAAGCGGCGACCTCCTCCGACGCTGATGCGGTGCGATCTTATCTGCCCGGTTCCCCACACGCTCGATAGCGGAGGGGTTGCTTAACCACCAGGCGCACGGGCCCGCAGCTGCGCTATGACCTGCCAATCAGCGGCGCAGCTATGAGTAACGTGGGGACAAGCGGCGAGACGTCCCCCTGGATACCAGTGGTGTTGGTCTTGGGTCTTTTGGTTGCAAGACCGCGACAGCGACTTCCTGTTTAACGCGCTGCCGGTATCGTAACGGTTGTTGGTTATGTCTTCCGCGAGTTTTCTTGGGTCAGGACCAGGTCGACTGTATGCGGCTGAGCGGCTGCTGTTTCTTATCGAATGGTGGTCATGGTAGCGAGAATGAGTTGACACGAGAAGACGTTATGAGACGAGACGTTGCTGACTTGACATGAGAAGGCACAGCTGCTGGTTCCGAGCCGGAGATGCGAGAACCGCTTCCACCAAAGGCTTCATACGGCAATCGGTAACGAAATCTGTATCTGTGAATGTCTAATACACGTCCTGCCAGCTATCGGGTGTCACAACGGCGGCGTCCGCGCGACCAGCGGCTCGTGTGGCGGGAGTGGGCCGTGTCATGCATCGAGGTCGTCTACGGCGCCGGCTACAGGCAGCCCGCGGCCGACCTCACACCGAGCGTCCTCTGCGGACGAGGAGCCGCACACGGACCCCGTCCTCTACAGGGCACCCACGCCGCACGTACGGGCGGTCCGGGCAGACAACTGCCGGCAGGCAGGCGTCACGTACAGCGCGCGCGCGCGCCGGGGGATGTCACGCCCCCGGCGCCACTCTCACACCTACTGGTAGCCCTCGGAGCACGGGCGCCGCCTGTCGTGACGACGCCGCGTGCGCGCGTGTATATACAGCATGCGAGCCGATGACCACACCGAGGTGAGCGATGGGACGCGCGGCGCCGTCCGGTCGCGCGCGCTGGCGCGCCCACCAAGCCGTCTGGAAGCGGACGTGACACCGCGGCCCCCTCCCGTGGCCTGATGATGCAGTCGGATTGCCGGGCGACGCGCGAGTCGGTACGGATGACGACGCACGAGCCCGCGCGGACCGACGCACTGCCCGGTGTACCGGTCGGGGCCGGCCCAAGCGGCGGCCGCGCGCAGTGGCAAGTCTGGCGCAGTCGCCGGGTCGCCCACAACAGACACCAGTCGTCCGGGCGCCGACGACAACACGACACGCGTCGGCACCACCTCCGCTCCGCAGGGTGAAAGCACAACACGCGCAAATGAAAGCAACTGAAAGGGTAAAGGTAGCAGTGGGCCCGGGGCGCGGCGGCGGCCGGGCCCGAGCCTGGCGTGCGGTGCGGTGCGCTGCGGCGGCCGACGGCGGGCCCGACCGCCCGCCAGCCGCTGCGGAGCGTGACCCGCCAGCCGCTGCGGAGCGTGACCCGCCAGCCGCTGCGGAGCGTGACCCGCCAGCCGCCGCGAAGCGTGACCCGCCGGCGCGGGCCGACACAGCCTCCTCGCGAGGCGGCCAGTCTGACTAGTCCTTGCTGTCTTTGGGCGGTGTGATGAGCCAGCCGATGGCGATGTTGTCGAAGCCGCTGCTGAAGAGGTTCGGCCGGCCGCAGGACGTGTCGTCGCTCCAGGTGACCGAGCACACCATCCGCCGGTGACCCTGCGATCCAGACCTCCGCTTCATCCCGGCACTTCTGACTGGGCTTGGTTCAACGGCACATTGGTCAAATCACATCTGACTCAAACTGAGATCCAAATCACGGTTTGGATCAAACATTTTTAAATAGCTAAAGTAATGGACCGTTCATTGAAATCAAATTACATCAACGATTCCCACTTTTCTCTGACTGAATCACACAGCGTAGTGCAAATAGAAAATGTCAGTGAAAGAGCAAATCACATGTCACTACTTTAGAAATTAAGATAAAACTATAACCATACCAAAACAATCAATGTTTTATCTGTTACCACACTTAAATCAGCTGCGCGTTTTGATACGATACTCTTTATACATTTAGTCCCTACATTTAAACTTGAAGGGTTTCTGATTTCAGAACCCACTCTAAGCAGAGCTTCTTGCGTAAGTCCTAACCCCACCATCCAATCGCGGACTTCCACTTCAGCGCTATAATTTTTGTGGCGGAAGTTTCACGTCCAACGATACCCGGCGCGTTCTACCGTGCCCTCTGGCCTCATCTGACCTTGAGCAGCCACTACCACCAGCCGCACACCGTCCCAGCCAGAGCCATACAGCGCGCGCCAAATCGATTCGACCCCCCCGTCCTGCCATGGACGGGGGGGTCGAACCTCTCCCACCCCTCCCGTCCCGCCATGGGTGGACTCGTCATGAGTTCGGGGAGCTAGGCATTCTAACTGATTGAGCTACGGGACTGGCACATCTGCAGGACAGTGTGCGGTTCTATCCATGCGTGACGCAAATATTTTCATCCCCTAAAAAGCCTAGCGTCACGGGAAGACACGTTTTGTTGGCAAGCAACGTGAGTGGGAGTTATGACAAAGGCTAAATCTGGTATGGTGTAAATATCCGTTAAGGTTTGGTTCGACCCCCCCCCCCCCCCCCCCCCGTCTTCTCATGGGCAGTGAAAACCTGCCAGATTGTTTACTCAAAACTGTGCTTTGATGCCATAACTTCAGTTGACTTAGCAGTCATTTGGGGTTTTCGGGCGTTTCGGCCGCGCGGTCCTATAGCGCCCACAACAGTTCAGTTGACTTACGAACTAACATGTAATTCAACATAAAACAAATCAAATTAAGCTTCAACTAACAAAACCGCTGCTATTCATTGTCAATCATTGTACATCAATCTCGGAATCTTTAACAATCGTTAGCCGATTCTGAACAGAGTCGGGTGTTTGCCAACTCAACTGTTCCAGCTGCCAACAACCGGATACATGATTCGTAACTACGCAAAAAGACATACAGTTGGATGACCCTTGATCTGAATCTGATTCCGAATCAACTCTTACTCTGAACCATGCAACGATGCAAAATGAACCGAAATTGAGGTGATTCCAGAAGTACTTCAGAATATAATTCCACGCTAACACACGTCTGCTGTAATTAGGCCAGGACACGCCGGCCAACCACCAAAACACACCACCAGCCAGACACCCTATACGGCACGGCACGAGCGACGCTATAACAGACGCGAACGTGACGTCATCACAGATCGTCCTTACCAAACCAATGAGCCAGACAAGCTGAAGCCAGCTGGAGGAGCAAGACAGCTATAGTAACCAATAATAGGTACAACCAAGGCGTTACAATCCGTCAGCATGATAATGTGACAGACAGAAATCCCCCAATGCAACATTCTGCCACCACTGCTGTGGGGCCCAATTCCATGCAAGCTTGGTAAACATCCAGGCTGTGAACCTGGCGCCTTTCGCCGCCGCCGTCTCGGGGGCGGGCCGCGACCGCGCCGCGCCCCGCCGCAGCCTCTCACCAGCCGGTTGGAGCGCGGCAGGCGGGCCAGCCGCTGGCCGCTCAGGTCGTACAGGCGCACGTGCCGGTTGTCGAACGGCAGCGCGATGACGTTGGCGGCCGACACGTCCAGCCGGTTGATGGCGGCGTCGCCGCGGATGGTGGCCAGCGGCGAGCGCATGTTCTTCAGGTCCCACACCTTGCAGGTGCGGTCGTCGCTGCCCGAGACCACCTTGTCGTCGCGGCTGAACACGGCCGACGTGACGGTGCTGCCGGCGGCGGCGCGCGCGGCGTCAGCCGGGCGGGCGACGGCGGCGCCGGCCCAACTCGTCACGGCGCGCAGTCACTGCCCACGGTCAACGACCAGCTCAGGACCAGGCCCCTCCCCCCTGAGGAAATCCCAAGGGCAAAAGAGTGGGCACGTAGGGCCACGCAACATTACAAGTGGAATGGGTCTGGACCAGGGATGCAGCTTCCCCAAAATATCAGCCCGCAGCCCGACCCACCCCGACAGCTGATGACCCCAACTTCAAGTTAGCTGTGATGTAATGCCAACCCAGCATTAGCCCGCAAGTTAATGCCATAAACATTTCGTAAGTTCTTCGTGACTTTCGACCTTTACATCGATGTGTGAATACAATTTTTAATGCAGTCTCTATTGCGCCAACGTAAACCTTAAACATGGTGATGCCAGTTTTCAGCTACAAGTGAGAAGGAAGAGGGTGGGATATAACTTTGCGTATCACCAAATTGTACTAGGTCTTCTACCCCTCTACCTCATCTCAATAGGCCACGGGCCATGTATACCGAAATTGCATGCATCAACTGATGACTCCGTACCGACAGAGTAAAAAATGCTGGCCGTTTCAAGTGAAAGAAAGCCTCCTCATTTCATTGCACGGTACATCAGCACAAACACAAATGGAATGCGCCACAATCGACGAAATGCCATACATTTAATAATCACTATTAAGGATAAGTCCAGTGCGAAACATTGAATACCGTCAGTACAATCATTGTTTAGCACTACGCCGCTAAACCAGCACCTTGGCTTATGATATACTGAAAGTAATTAACTCAGTATAGAAACTTCTACAAAGTGCCCAGGAGCTCAACTCATCATGCCGAAAAACCAGGAGCTGAAGGCCTTTCTTTCTAATAACAAGTACTGTAAACGTAGCAGGTGCATCATATGTGAGCTCAAACAAGCAAAATCTAACACAGCCACTGAGCCTCCGCTCGAAAAAGCTACCTTTACCCAGGAGGTCACTATCAGGCAAGGCAGCCCAACTGGACGAATACGACAACGGCTCACGCGGCCGAACCACGTGCTAGGCGGAAGCCAACGGCGCTCAGCAATACAAACGCCTGCCAACGCGCGTCCCACCCGGCGCGCGCCGAACTCACTCGGTGTGCCCCTGAAAGACGGACACGCAGGGAATGGGCTCGCGGAAGTCCCAGAGCCGGAACGTGGTGTCCTTGCTGGAGGTGACGACGAACTTGTGGTGCGGATGCGCCGACACGTGCGTCAGCTCCTGGTCGTGGCCGGCCAGCGTGTTGAGGCTCTCGCCGGTGGTGACGTCGAACAGCTGGGCCGTGCGGTCCCAGGAGGCGGTTACCACCTGCGGCAGCCGGCGCACCACCCAGCTCAGGCGCGCTCCGGACGGAGCGCTTCAGTTGACACGCTGCTTCACTCGTTGTGTGTAGCTGCACGACTATGGGTCCGGAGGGTGACGTAAGAACTTTGAGCACACAGAATACGTAATTCACTACTACACTGACGTCACGCGGCTCACAACGTAATATTGCACTATGACCGTCTTCACGCGCTCATTTTTTCGGCAAAAGCATTGCCGACTTCTGACGCCCCAACGCCACTAATCACCTGACAATTTGACGATCATTTGACAAACATTCACGAGCAACGGCGCATTCTACTACAGCTCCGGCCTATCAGCAGCTGAACTGAATGCATACTGAATCATGGCGCGACTCACGGTGTGCAACTTCAACCGTAATTCTTCTCGGTATCAAACCACGTTCTTTATCTACGTCAGAGCACCACCGCATGCCGACAGCAACACGACCCGCCAGTCCAGTTCGACCAGAAGAGCGCGCGTGCAAGCGTGCAGGGACGACGTACCGGTATGTCCGGGTGTCGGTGTGGGTGGGTGGATGCTAAGGTACACTGGCGGATGTGCGGATTAGATGCTGGACAGGCGGGTAGGAGGATTAGACGGACAGTGGACACACATTTGTGAGTGCGCATGTGGCGTCTGCTGCCTGCCATCGCCGGCACGTGTCGGCCGTACGGTACCTGCTCGGCGCCGGCCAGCCAGTCGGCGGCGATCACCACGCCCGAGTGCCCGGTCAGCTCCAGGATCGGCGTGCGCAGCGCGTTGCTGCCGTCGGCCGGGCCCAGCTCCATCGGGTCGTACAGCTCGGTCGGGTCCACCTCCTCCTCCGACGAGAGCGCCCTCTGCCGCCGCACCGCCGCCGCCGGTGAGCGCGACCGGCGCCAGGCGACCGCACCCACACACACACACACACCGTCCAGCCGACTTCCCACGAGGAGGGTGCCCCCCCCCCCCCCCGAACACTGCACGCGGATGGAGGTCAGAGCACAGACGGACGCGTACGAGCGCGTGCAGCAGTGCGCCCCCACCCGGCCTGCGGGACACCGAGACCGCTGCTGCGGGCCTCAGCTCTGTCCCTCCTGGGACTGGTGTCGTCTGGAGCCGGGTCAGATAGCTCCCGTCGTAGCAGTGCGACCGGTGGAAGGGAGCCCTACTCTAACGTCATACCATAGCTCAGCACTGCCTGCGTCCAGGTCAAAACGAGACACCGCATTACGCTGCATCACGTTATGCTGCGAAGAAGTCAGTCACTGTCCAAATCTGATCTTTTTCAAATACCTGAGACGGGTTCTGCTGAACTTAGTCTTTGAAGTTCACTGCGACAGGGCCACAACTTCACCGACGACGAGCACACGCAACAGGACAGGGGCGTTGACGCGGACAGCAAGCCGCGCGGACCAGCCCGAACAAGACCCGCACGGCAACGTGGCCCGGTCGCCGGCCCGCCGACGACTCACGCCGGTATCCATGGTGACGACGGCCTGCCAGACGTGCGCCGTCTGATCGCCGGAGCCCGTCAGCACCAAGTCCCGGCTCGGGTGGAAGCGCACCGAGTTGACGGAGCCCTCGTGGCCCTGGTACTGCAGCAGGCAGCGGCCCGTGTCCACGGACCACACGCACGCCGTGTGATCTGCGGAACACGAAGCGCGGTCAGACGACCAGAGCGCGCGGCCGGATGCCGACAGCTGGCTGACCCCCGAACACAGGGACGCTTCGGCCGCCGCAAAACACACTCTAGCTGTCGTGCAATACCGCTGAATTTAAGCTGAGACGGAGCAGCGCGACGCTTCAATTGTCACAAACACGACAACGTTTCAGCCGCCCCAGAACGCAGCCATGATTAATATGATACATAACAAGGCAACACTTCGACAGGTCAGGGCGCGCGGGTCGGGGCGCGCAGTTTGGGGCACGCAGGTTGGGGCGCAGGCCGGGCCGCGCTGCACTAACCAGCAGAGGCTGTGCCGATGACGTTCTGGCCGGGTCGGCCGGTCGACACCTCCCAGACACCGTCCTTGTGCGAGCGGTACTCGCGCACCAGCGAGCACACCGCCGACGCGGCCTTGAAGCTCGACACGATCTTGCTGGTCTGCTGCTTCAGCTTGTAGGCCGGCTTCAGCTTCTGCGCGGCGTGCGACATCACTGCCAAAGATACGAGCCGGCGATGTCACAGCGGCGGCGGGTGATACACCGACATGACGCCACGGGGTCAGGAGAGGCCACACCCCGCGGGCTCGGGCGGCGGCCGCCGCGTGCCGGGGCGTGGCAGGTGAGCCCAGCAGCGCACCCGCCACGCCGGCGCGGCTGCCCTTGCACGCCGGCGCCGACCTCGGCAAATGCACACGAGACGAACACACCGCAGCTGTACACTGGCGGGCGTCCCGTCGCAGCACGACCCGGTGTAGCGCCAACACGGATGGTACGCGTGTCGATGCCAATAATCAAGCGGTGGGACGGCACTGCGGCGATTCGACAGAGATTCATGGGCAATGCACGGCCAATGAGCTGACTTATAGTTACGCGATGCTTCTGCACGCCTCTACCTCAACGCGTCAGCTGACACCAGCCTGAAGTCATGGCGTCATTGCTGCCACGTCACCAACATCATGTTACTGCAGCACCACTGCGGCCGCGGGTACGCCGATTCGTCCCGTGCCGTACACCAGGCCAACCACACTAGAGAGAGCGGTGCCACACACTCGTCATGTGATCCCTGTATTGCGTAACCAGGATACCGAAGCAGCCTACATAGGAGGTTCTCTTCATTTTGTTTTCCGTAAACGCACAGCGAGTTCCGAATGCTAAAACCACGATGAGAATTCCAAGTCCAATGAACCAAAATACTGTCTATGGCAAACATTTTGGCCGCTGCTTGCAGCCGTAATATTACGGATAAAAACGCCGACACAGTGGAAGTACCAGTTCATGGTACTCATAAAAACAGTAAAGCGAGAATTCCTGGCGAAAGCATGCATCACAAGTGACTGAATACGACCCGGATCTGGTAACTGAACGATGCAAGATGGACTAGGATGAGCAGGACATTAGAATAACGTCGGCTTGAGATGTACCACGGGGACTGATTGCCGGGTTGACGTTAATCTACGGACACTTGGATGACACTGAGTACTTAAAAGCGGCCATCACTCGCAAGCCAAAACATGATGACGTTGAATACTATATGTCAACATTGTGTATGCTGCTAGTGAAAACCAGACATGTCGCGGATTTATAGAGCATTTTGAATTTGATGGAATGCAGAGCACAGATCAGACAACTTGCATGCATCTGCCCTTTAAACCGAAAACACTCCCATTCAAAAGAGCAGCCACCGAGATTTCAGATGATCAGACTGCCAACTTGCAACTCAGCACCGAACAGGAAAACCATAAGGCAATTACCGCTTGCGGACCACTGGCACCGTTACCGTTGTACACGACGAAGGGCCGGGAAGGGGAGAGGTCGAAGATGGACGTGGGGGACTCGGTGCCGACAGGAGAGGCCGCAGGAGTGAGGGAGAGGCGGGGCACTCCTGCAACACCCGACGTGGTCAGCAGGCTGCACTCTGCTCTCTGTACTGCGTTAACACGGCACGTCACCGTGCTGCGCAGGCGGGGACGCAGCCGGAAGTGCAGGAACAGCACCGCTGTTAAAACACGCGTCACAGCAAGCACGTCAAGCATGCGGGGAACTCAAAACGTCGAACCACAACGATGATGTGACATGACAACATGAACATGGAGCTTTAGTCACGCGGTGAGGTCGTTGCCACCGAAAGGCATGAGTGCACACATGAACGTCGAATGATCTTACGCTTTTGTTTGCTTTTGACTGCGCCGTCTGTCTCCTCGCACCGATCTCCAGGCTCCCTGTCGGGCTTCTCTTGCAGGAGCTCCAGCTCTTTGTGCACTGCAGCATGAGGAAATGTTACACTTGTGCAGTGAGGGACTGGAAGTGATGCAATGTAATGCAACACTGGAGAAAGGTTTACAATGATATGCACAAATCGAACAATCGAAAAATAAGGTGAAATCATACGCGACATACCGGTATGACCTAAATAAAATATGCAAGTTTCATGATGCTAGCCGATTGCCGATGCCGATTAACAAATTGCGGACATAATAGAACGGGGTGAAACCGTCAACTTACGTGCAACATTTTCTGTACAGACACTTTCAAATTCCTTCTCAATCTGGAAGAAGAGCTCGTTCAGCCGTGACCTGCCGCAGAGAAGGCTTTTGTCAACAGGTCATTTCTTGGCACTTCAGCTGGTGTAATAGGAACTAAACAAAGCACATATTTAACAGGATAGAGCTTACATGGCCCATGGACTCCAGAGAACAGCCCAAAGCAAGCCCAGAGCACCATACTTGTCAGACCAAGCCAAGACCAACTCAAAATGTAAACAGTTAGGCTTGAACCCCACCAGATCGCGTGTGGAACAGGACAGTACGCAGCCTCCCCCTCCCGCCGCACTTCCCCTTCCCCACCGTCCTTAACGTCAGACTGGAGCCTGCGACGATGGGGAGGGGAGGACGGCGTCTCAGCTTCCCCGTTGATCCCAGGAGTGGCACGGACCTGAGGCGGGGCGGCAGCGCCGTCTGCTCGGGGTCGGCGTCGGCGCGCGCGCCGTGACTGCCCGCCACCGCCGGCTCCGGCTCGTGGTGCCGCATGCGCGGCATGGAGATCTTGAGCGAGCGGGGCGTCTTGTTGGCGGGCCCGGCCGCGTGCGGCAGTTCCAGCGGCATGGCGACGCCAGCGGCCCACTCCCCCGGCTCACAGCTGCCGGCGACAGATGGCGCGTTCACCGCCGGTCCACTGACGCGACACTCAGCGGCGGCCGGCACACAGACAGCCGACAGACTGATGCACAGTGTATCAGCAAGTGACGGGATGACGGGTAGTGCCTGACAGAATGACTGACAATACATGACAGAATGACGACAGGAGAGGAGACAGCACACTGACAACACTGGCGTTGGGGGCATACCACACATACATGGGAGACAATGGTAGGCGGTATGCCAATAGGTGGCGACCTGGCACCGACCTGCAGCACACCGACGGGCGGCGACGGGCCGTCTACAACGGGTGGTACAATGATGGGCAGCACAACAACATGTGACATGCCGGCGGTACACCAACTGACAGCACTCACAGGCAGTGTACTGTCAGGTGACAAAGGGTGCATGCATCAACAAACACTGTCAGGAGGCACGCCAGCAGGCTGTATGGTGACAGACTGTACAATAATGTCTGGCTGACAGACATATGACAGCTCACACACAGGCAACATACCAATGGGCAGTTTGCTGTCCCCATGGTGGTTGTATTTGGCCCTGCCCTTCCTGTGGTAATTAGCAATGACTAGCCTAATTTACCCTGATTTAGCCTAATTGACCCTAAAGTTATTGCCCTAGATAATAATCATGTGTATAATGAGACTTAGGGTGTCCTTACAGTGATGATTAATGATATGGTGCATGATCACTTGTTTAGGTTAGTAGCACTGTAGTATCTCCCTTTTCAGGTCATGAAATGCCTTTCAGCCTCGGATTGGGTCAGTACGTGAGCAATGGATACTTTATTGAGTTTGAGTGTACAACATGAAATACTGAGATTGCTCAAAATGCAAAATGTTATCAAATTTCACTTCAAGCATCTCAGATATTGTCCAAAGATCGCTAGTCTGATCTGGAATCACACAGCAAATTTAAAGGCACTGGGTTTAGAAGGGTAAATAAAGTGCAGTTTAAAATCTTAATGTGGAATATAGAGTACATTTTGTGTAGATGTGGAGATCATTTCCTTAAGTCATAATGAGAAATAAGAAAAATGGTTTATCCTTGACTAATAATCATTTCAATTCTCCAAAGCCTAAAAAGAAATACATTACCAGACTGGTTAATGAATCGCCACAGTTGCTATCTTCTAGATACTAGATTGTGTATTGATCACTAGTCATTCACGGATACTGTTCCAGCTTGCTGCACCTAGTTGCTGTCATTGTGCTGACAATAGCAGCTGACACTAGACAAAATGATCAAACTTATATTTTAAAGGCTTGGCACACTACAATCAAGTTCCCTGGAGGTCATTATCTCAATGTGCATTACCTAGTGGTGCTTGGCACAATTTAGTGCCATGGACCATACCACTGATATTTCTTCAAGTAGACACATATACTCATATGACTTGTTAAGTAAAAATCATATTAAGCACATATTTAGCTTAAGGTAAATCACTTGCATAGAAAATTTAGCAAGCATTATCCCTTTTGAAATTGAACAGGACATTAAGCAAAACAAAAGCAAAAGAACTACCTGTTAGTGATCCATCCAGGTACCACTTGGTGTCACAGACACAAAGACCAAACATTGCAGAATACAGATGTTTGTGTGGCTGCATGCCAGCAACAATGACACAGGCAATGAAATAAACATCAGATATTGCAAAATAAATATTGAACATAAGCAAGTTAGTTATCATAGTAAGACAATGCACAAAATTAACAATATGACTGATTTGACAATATGGTGCCAGTGGCAGACAAAAGGGAGCAGAATATCAAAGTGGCACATATAAATGAACCTGAGTTATCATGAAAAAATAAAAACATGTTTGTAACCATAAGAACAATACAAATGAAGTTAGCCAATACCACATACACAGGAAAACACTTCAAATTCATATAACTTCTGCTATAACTGCAACTTCGCTGATTCACTGTTGGCAACTGGCCCTACACATTCATTGCTGGTATGTGTATGGATGGGAACATATTGTAAGTTTATCTCAGATAAGTTGTTGGATCTGGTTAGGCCGGTGTGCTATGGCTGATAATACAAACTGCCAGTTGTCAAGCATGAATATGCATTGCAGGAGCAGATTCATGGTATCTAGGCACATCTGTTATGAGAAAGAACTTAAATTCCATCTCACTATTCTATCTTTTACCAACAAAACAGTGAGCCACACTTCATATGCTGGCAACATCATGCTACAGACCTGGTCGCTGTCGCCAAACAGCATCAATCACAGACCCCACTGTCACCTTGGTCACCCCACGCAGTCCTCCCCATGCCCGACACCTTGTGCCATTTACCAGGCATAATGCTATAATCATCCACCCATGTCCCATACCCAGCATCTTGTTCCTGAAGGTGTGCATTAAACATTTTAATTTGTATTTTGGCTAACAAGATACCCAAACCATGACCATTTTCAAGTTGCAGGGGCCACAGTGCATGAATACTTAGTAAATCATAACATGTCAGGCATGGCAACATTGCTGCAACACTTTTAGAGCAGGCATGTTGTAAATCTGGCAATTCATTGGTGATCTCATTTGGTTGCTCACCAACAATAGTCAAATTTGGCTTACCCTGAGGTAGGCTCATGCAGTAACTACCACAATTTGCTCTGATCTGAGTTTGACACAAGTGAGTGAGATCTTCAGCATGCTGATGTTGCAGGCAGCCAATGCAGTGGGTCAATTTCAAGCAGACTGGACACAAAACCCAAATTTAAGTCATAGGGCTCTGGGTCCTCCAATGCAATTCAGTCATACACCCCAATCAAGGGGTGTTTATCAGGGTAAGCAATGGGGGTGCCAGGGTGAGAACCTTATGACCCTAAATCCCCCCCCCCCCAAATTGCAATAGATCTATGCCACTCAGGTCTGACAGACAGCATTCAGAACTCGACCTTTTTCATTACCAATTCCTTTATTGCAGCAGCATGGTAGTCATCATCATGGAACAATGCCAAGAGAAAACATGCTCTATATAACTGCTCACCTTTACTCAAATTTGTGTAGTGCTCCCACAAAAAACTCAGACCCTGACCAACCCGGAGTAAGACGCATCAGCAGTGAAAAGCTCTGCCTCCCAAGATGTTGGGATCGGCGGCCCTGCCCTAATTCATGAATCACCACTCGGCAAAGGGACGAAAAAACTCACCCTGCGTAGGGAATGAGTCACTGTAACCATGAACCCATTCATGAACTAGAATATCTTTAATCCTTCCACTCCATTCCACCAACCCCCACTCTGCCTCACAAGTCCCAGCCCTTTATCTCCAACCCGCTCCCCATCGCACACACTGCGCAATGAGGCGAGAGGGAAACCAAAACAAAAATATGCTGGTCAAATAGGCGCAGAGCAGGCAGATCCGGCAGATTAATTTGGCACTTCTTTATTGCTACCATATCCTACAGATTCCTCTGTTTTCGCACAATGCGGCGACGGGGCGGAAACTGGGGCCCTACCGTAGGCCCGCCTTGGTTGTGTACCTGGACGTACCTATCAAATGTAAGTGTCCACAAGACGAAGGCCTTTTTAAATCCGTCGAGTTACAAAAATAGACGTTGACCTCGACACGACACACCTAAAGGCTGAGACCGGGAAAGTTTAAAACAGGATGTATGCAGGTCAAAGTCGCAAATCTCAGTCTGAACGTAAATATGAATGTATTGCCAGCTTGAAAAAGCTTATCTTTTTGTCCTAAGGCCGGAAGATTTCTCCGGACCTGCTCTTGCCTTGACAAACCAGAGGCCAGACTTTATTCCCCCAAGGTTGTTATCATTGCGCGAGATAGGATCACTCCATGTTATCACCTCTCTCGTTCCAAATCGAGCAGTCGAAAATATCGACGGAAGTCAAGAAATTTCTCTTCCCGGTTATCTAACACATTTTATTTTGAGCCTGATTCTCTGCTGCCCCACTAGCTAAAGCGGCCATTAAAGACCCGGGACGAAGTTTTTCTATAGTCGCGCTGTTGACTGCTGTCCCCCAAAACATTCCGTGCGGTCTTTCGTAACTTTGAAGGGGTTCACCACCCATGCTGGAACAGCTTAGAGGTCCCAGAAATATGGAAGTCCCGCTCCTGACAACTTTCCTGGATCTGCCTCCGCTCCTTACGTACATTGTATTCGCCAAGGCCACTGGTGTTCAAAAATCCATGCATGAGTGGAAACCTGTCGGGCATGAAAAATAGTACGTATATGGGGAGCAACACTGCTCGTTACTCGCACGGGGCGAGCGTTATGCACCTGCGGGTCTGGGGTGGTCCACCTTGCATCGAAGCAAGGCTAGTTGTAGTCAGTAGCTGCCAGAATGCTATGCAGGAGATCGAGCCCGAGCTCATTCCAGGAATGGGGTAGACGGGTAATGGGTAATGACGGGTAGTTAAAGCGGTTCCGCCACCCTACACTTCAATTCTAGAAGCGGCTGAAGCTGCATTGGTAAGCCAGTTCCGAAAAGAGGTGAACGTGCAGCAGGCTGTTCTCTAAGGAATTTTGAATTGGGGTCGGGGAAATCCCAGTGATATGCCTGCTTCCAAATCTGGATTAATCTAACCTATCGTCCAAGATTTGCAGTTCTCCTCGCATTTAGGTAATTTTATTTTCTGTCTTGCAACGAGAAATAGATAGAGCAAGTTGGCTGCGATACATGAAGTCATAACAGGGCCAGCACGGAGCCAGAACAATGGCGAGCGTGGGAAGGTGGGCGTATCTGGTCAATGCGAGTGGGAATCTGGCCGAGTGTGGGTGCATTTCTCAGGGACATAACACGTTAAAAGTCCTTGGCAGCGACGACAAGCACCAGCAAACCACTGTAAGTATTTCTGCATTTACTGAATATACTCTGGCTTTAACCTGCAATGCATATTCAAGAACGGCAATCAGACAGCAACGTTTGGGCAAGATGGAGGTCCCCGATGTGACACGGACTCCGACTTCCGTAGTGCCAAAAACAGCATTGAGGCTCTGTGAAATAGCCCAGAGCCTTAATCAGGACTTGACATTAGGACTTGAACCCGGACTCACGTTAGCAAGGCACACCTGGATGGGTCTGTATACCCGACGCTTCCGATTTTGGTTTCGTAAGCGTGTCTACGTCTGAAGGTAAAACATTTGGGAGTCATACCATTCCAGGCATAATGTTCCGAAACAAAAGCCATTACAGATACATTACCCTCTGGCATTTTCAGCGAACTTGAGGACAACTGTCAACCCTCGTCGTACCCAACGACCCGAAGCCAAGGACGTGGGATTGACTCAATGGGTGCCCCTCCCCCACCCTGGTCGCGAGCAATCCATCCACCATCCTAGTGTCGATGCTCAGCTTTCACGAAAAGTACATGAGCCATAGCCCAGACCAGCCCAGTCCAATTACTTCTGACCTGAAGTAGAAGAGGGAGGACGATTCGCTCACCTGTTCTTGCGATGCTTGGCTGTCCGGGTCAGCCGCAAGTGGAGCTCGTCCAGAGAGGAGCGACGGGACATTGTCCCGGCGCTGTTCCCACCGCCTGACACACACAGCTACGTCACCCACGGCCTGACGCCGCGCGCCGGCCGTCCCCGACGGGACTCGCGAGCCGACGGCCGCGGCCGCGCGGACGGCGCGCCCCCGCCCCACCGCGCCGGGCCGCGCGCGCCACCTGTCTCCCGGCGGCTCCGTCCACAGAGGCTGAGACTGACGCGGCTCCCGCGGCTCAGCTCAGCGGCGGTGGGGCCACCCCGGGTCAGGTCAGCGGTCAGAGCCGGGTCAGCTGTGGTGTGACCTTAGGTCAAATCCGCAGCTGGGACGACCTCAGTTTCGCCTCACTGTTGGCGTGACCTCAGGTCAGGTCAAATGTGGTTTGGCCCCACGTCAGGCCAGCAGCAGTGTGACCTTACGTCAGGTCAGCTGGTGGTGCCGCATCTTCTCAGCAGCCAATCCATCCCGTCCTCCACGCAGACCTCACCACAGCGACGAACGTCCACCCGGCCGTTTCGCGCGGCCGCGGGGGCAGCCGAGTCCTGCCCGGTTCGGGGCCGGCGGCGCGCAGATTGCTGCCGTGTCCGCCGCGGTATCTAGCCGGCACTATCAGGAGCGGAGAGCCGGGCAGTCGATGACCGCCCGGTGACGCACACAGCACGCTCCCCTCACGCGGCGCGGACAAACAAACGCTCGCGGACGCAAGCGCACGCGTACGCACGCACGAGCACCCTCACCTACGCGGGGACCTCACGTGGCCTGACGCGTGCGGCCTTCGCAGATCTCACACAGACGCGGGGGACAGGTCACGTGATCGTGCCAGCAGTGCGGGGCCCTCTGAGAATGATGCTTGCGTTGCAGCACATCCCACCAGGGTACGAGATGACGTCAAGTTCTCTCGTAAACATAGGGCTGTATGTGTTGCGGGTTTCTGGGACGGAGAAGCTGGCCACCACCAGCCAGTGACTAGAGAAATCTCCCGGCCAGAAGGCGCCCTTGCTCTCGCCCGACGCTCTGCCGCAGTGATACTGTCCGACCGAAGGTGGCACACTGGCAACGCTCCAACCGTCGCTGTTGTCAGGAAAGTGACATTGATCACGATCCGGATCATTGACCAACGCATTTTATGTGGAAAACTACGCTAGCGCGCAAAAACGAACACGTTTTTTAAACACCCATGCACGCTCTCTCCCCGCATCGGGTACGCAGCATCACCTCAAGTACCAGCCATCAAATCATGCCGGCGAGCCGCACGCCTCGCGCCGGGCGCCGGCGCGCCCGGGCGGTGCGTGCCGCGCCGTGCCGTGTCGCGCCGGCGCCAGCTGCGCCTCACGCACCTGCGCGGCGCCGCCGCCGTCAACACCTGTGTCCACCGCCGGCCGTATATTGGGCACGCGGCGCCGCGGACGCGCCGGGCGCCAGGAAAGCGCGCCGACGCGCCGCACATGCACCAGCACACTACGCACGTACAGACACGCACACAGACTCGCGCGCGCGCTTATGGTAACAGTTTGTTCAGTCGTTGCTATGCGGGGCTGACGCCTGGCCGGTCTGGTCGCCGCCACACCCCCGACGCTACTCTAAACGCACGGACAAACGTGGAGAGCACGGAGAACTGCCTCGGACCGCCACGACAACGACGCACGGCGATAATAAACAAGCTCAAAACACGGTTAACGGCACGGGGACGACCTCCCCGCCCGGCGTCACGGCCCAGGCCTGGCCGGAGCTCCGGACGCGGCCCTTCCCCTGCCCCTTGTGACGGACCGCCGACCCGGCGACGCCGGCTACCACCCACCGCGCAGGCAGCAGCCAGTCTCACGAACGCAATCGGCGCGAAATATCTAACAACATTCCGACATTTCTGAGATTTTGCAAACGACATGAGGAGTTCTAAAAAGTTCTAAGCGGTCATATCTGGCACTGGCAATAGAGGCCTTTCAAACCCGTGCAAGTTTTTTGACACAGGAAGCGACAGGTCGACCAGGCGACACCTCCAAATCCGGATGTGACTTCACGAAACCCTTCAAAATGCTCAGGATATTTCGCGCATTAAGCCTTCGTGAAAACGGTTTCTCCTCCACTTCACGCAGCCGGCGGACCCTCGGTCGACTGGATGGCAAAACACCAAACGGCCCTGACCAGCGGCAGATAACCGCCCTGACCTGGCCCCTCTGGCGTGCGTGGAGGGAAGGAGCCCGTGTTCCCTGCACCAACACGCTACACGCGAGGACGGTCGGTCCAGCAATGCAGCCACAGTCTGCTTGGCAGTAGACCCACAGAGCGTGTCCGAACCACGCGCCGGGCGGCTGGCAGGCAGACTGGTCGGGAAGAGGACACCCGCCAAGTGGCGGCGTCCGCTGCGGCGGCGCGCAGCGAACCCCGTCCCCACTGCTGGCCGGCGCGGACGAGACCCGAAAAACGCCGCCGCGATGGTTAGCACAGACAAGAGCAGAAACTGCGCACGGAAAAACAGTTAGATACCACGGTGAAAGAAACGGATCTGTAGAGTTGCCCGGTGTTCAGGCTCCTTCGGCCCACACACGCCCGCCTGAAGGCCTGCTCACAATAGCATGCGCACACACGCCCGCAAACCAGTACAAAAGGAATGATCTCCACAGCCGGCGGGCCGGGGTGCAGTGCGTGCCGCCGCTGACGCCGCCGCCGCGGCGGTCTGCCGACCGACCCTCCCTGACCGGCGCACTAGCGGGCGTCATCAGGCCCGCGCCACTGCACCCATGTCGACAGTGCTGCCAACTATTACACAGACCCTGCACGGTAAGTAAAGCTGGATCATTGCGTACGCACCGCTGTTGCACATGGCGCCAGTGCCGATCAGAACCGGGATATATGCATCAGCACTCACGGAATCGAGAAGGCGACGAGGCTAAGGAATGACAATCTAGAGTACATTCGAGCGACGATTCTACTTCCACACTTCGATGGCAGCAGTGGACTGGCGCCGCCCTCCGGTTTGCCGGCCACGCGGACGCCGCAGAGCGGCGAGACAACGGCGTTCCCGAGACGTGAGCACCACCATCGCCGCCGCGAGCTCAGCGCGCGCAGCTCCAGGGGCGACCGGAGCCGGCCGGCACGGTCCTCCCCCGGCCAGAGTCAGCGCCCGGGCCGGCCGCTGCCGACGGCACCGCCGCTCGCCCGTCCCTCCTCTGCTGTCCGGCTGCAGACGAGACGCGCCTCGGCGCCGCCCTAGCCGCCGCTCAGCGGCCAGCCACCGACGCCGCACGCCCGCCGCCGGGCCTACCGCCGGCCGGCGCGACCTCGCCGCCGCCGCCGCCGCCGCCGTCGCAGCCCGGCCCTCAGACGTTGTAGCGCTGCTCGGTGCCGTCGGCCAGCAGCGCCGTCACCGTCTTGCTGCCGACCCAGACCAGCTTGGGCTGGCGCGGCGGGTTCAGACGCACTATCTCCGGCAGCGGCGGCGTGCTGTACGTCTTGACGCAGCGCGTCTGCGCGTGGCCCAGCCCGAACATGCCCGCTGACGTCTGCCGACAGCGCCGGGCACGTGTCAGTGGGGCAAGCACGTGACAAGCCCCGGCGCGGCCTCCTCCGAGCCGTGCGGGACAGCCAAGAGTCACGCCTCTAAGATCAGCGGGCATGATCGAGCGCGTGTTGACATGCCTCAAGTGGCTACCACATTGCACCGAGACGGCTTTGGTTCAGCAACGCAAGGACTATCCGCTGACAACGTGTACAGCCAGCTATCTTCAGAACATCGTGATGCACTTAAGTTAACAAAGAAAACACTCAGAACCGCTGTAGCAGCAAACGCCCCCACCGCACGCGGCAGCAAATAGGACAGCACAACATCTATTCCACGGCAAGGTGCAACACTTTTATGTGCATGAGCCGTAACGATTGGCTATTATCAGGCAATCTGTTGTTTGATCTGACCATGCGTTCCTTCCACTCGAGCTAAGACGCCAACCAATAAACCGCACAATCGTTGAACTATGCAGCTGAGGGGTGGAACCAACTGTGCTTCAGGTGGCAGCGAACGGTTCGGCGTACGTGGAAGGAGTTGCAAGCAAAATGCATGATTTTGCACCCACAACACCGATTGTTTTCCGAAGGCGCCGGGGCATCAAAACGCTATTAAACGACATGGGGGCTTTGATAAAATTTTAAATTTGCAAAATACCTCGAATCCGTCGCAAATTACACCAGGGTTTGCGATTTTTGCATGGAAACTACGTCAGTCGACGGTGGGTAAGACAAACTTATGCTGTGCGTCCAATGTGCCGGATGGCGGTACAAAGTCGCATGCAGCCGCACCCCGGTGTACGCATCCACCCACCCACACACCACACGCACGCACGCACACACACGCACACACACACACACCCACACACACCCACCCACACACCCCACACACACACACGCACACACACGCACGCACGCACGCACGCACGCACGCACGCACGCACGCACGCACGCACGCACGCACGCACGCACGCACGCACGCACACACACACACACACAACTCTGCAGCCCACCCCTGTCTACACACAAGCAGCGGATGCCCACCTGCCAGAAGGAGATTTTATTCTCGCCGACGGAGTACGAGGCCAAGAACTTGCCGTCGGGGGAGAAGGCGCAGGCCGTGATGGCCTTGGTATGCGCGTGCAGTTGCTGCAAGGACACCAGCGTTAAGCGGTCAGCCCGTGAGCGCCGCTGAGACCGCGGCACTGAGGCCGGGATTCAACTGGCCACATCCAGTCCGTACTGGTAAAGACATTCTGGGCAAGATCGGATCACAGGGCGTGTGAGCTAATGTCGGCATCAAACCCTCAGTCGTGCCGTCTTGGCGATAGTCGATGAAGATACAGCTAAGGCTAGGTCACGTTTAATATAAGACGTTTCCCACAACTGACTCTAAAACAAAAGTCAACAGCCAGCAGACAAGTTTTTAAAATCCAGTCAAAGTCGGAAAGCCAAAGACAATATTTTCTCAGGCCCATTATGCTTCAACGAGTTCAGGTAACATGAGCTGACCTGGACGGAGCTGCAATGACACATGGGCTGTCATCAAAGCTCCCCTCCCCCCCCCCCCCCACACTCCCCCGAAGGTGACCGCGAGTAGAGCTCTTCCTGAGACCCGAAAAATGACGTCACAAGGCTCCCCCGCCAATCGGGTGACCGCATGAGCGCTCTCGATCCCAACCAGCAAATTCATATTCGACTAGAGTTGATATGGCTACAAGCTTGCTGTGTTGGGCTGATTATCCACGTGCTCAGCACTGTAGTACTGTCACTAAGATACCTCGACTCATTACGACCAACAAGACACTATCAGCCAGCCACAAACAGCGCTGTATGAAACTCGCCAAATCATTACCGAATGGCCACGGCATGCTCCAACAGTTAAAAAGGACTTCCATCGCAGAAATTCCCCAGCAAGTCTGGTTAAAATCTCAAAGCACGCCGCAAGACACACTGGCTCCAGCTCGTCGCAGCCGTTCTGCGTCCTTGATCGGTGAGCGGTGAGCTGCCCGGCCCTGACCTGAGTCTTGTTCGTCTGGCGCAGGTCGTAGATGGCCAGCGTGCCGGTGGCGGTGCCGACCGCCACGCGCCGGCTGCTGGTGCAGTGCGTGATCTGGTTGAAGCGCGCCACGGCCGGGAACACCTCGTGCAGCGCGCGCTGGCGCAGGTGGCCCGGGTCCAGGCAGTGCAGCAGGATGTCCGTCAGCTGGGGGCGTGGGGTCGGTCAGCGGGCCGCGCCGGGAGAGGCGCCGGCGCGAGTACGCGCACCTCACGTCGCGCCGCGGCGCCCAGCCGCCCCGCAGGGCACCACCCAGCTGACGCGCTCCCCTCGCTCTCCTTCCATGTCCTCGTTCGAGACAACAGGAATGGCGATCAGCAGCGCGGCATGCTCAGACACCTGATTGTTGACCACCACCAGGCCGGAGCCGACCACCGAGTCATTCTTATCTAATTGGTTTTGGTTCACCGGCACTCGTGGAGCATTCTCTTGCTGACCGTTGTGTCTGAGTGTGCAATGTGTGTATGTGACTGCGTGTAATGTGCACGTGTGTGCTTGGTTACATTTTTGTTCGCGTTGTATCGTCGTCTATTGTTTTTAAACTGCAACTAGTTCCATAATTTTGCTTTTGCCTGTGGACTGCTTACTCCCTTACTATACCATGAGTAAACAAACGCCCAGCACAGACGAATACTTCACACGACATTAAACTGAACCAGAGAGTGGTCAGAGCCATCTGAAAAGCGTCTGCATAATCAGCCCGTTGCTGCCAGCGGCCGCACTCAGCCGCGCGGACCGGCGCTCCACGCGCGCACCTCGATCAGGAACCGGACCAGCTCCATGTGGTTCTTCTCGATGAGCAGCTGGACGACCCGCAGGATCTCCGGCTTGGCGCGCATCAGCACCGAGTGGTGCACCACCACGTTCAGAGACTGCGCGTTCTGCTGCAGACTGTTGTAGCGTGCCACCTGGCAAAGGAGCAGGACACGTTACAGCGTCACACGCGCCGCTGCCGGGTCAGCCACGGTGACAGCGGTGGGTGGTGCTACAGTCAAGCTTATTACCAGCTACCCGAGTCTCTCCCGTTCAAGGGGCGCCGCCGCACGCAGACGTAAACTTCGGTCGACGTTGCTTTTCGCGATTTGTTCGAATGTCCTGTTCAACATTGCCACTGAGCCATAGCGTAACGCATCGGCAGGCCACCACAACCAGCATCGGTGGATCACGGTAGAGTCGTAGTTTTCAATCGCAGATCATGTTCGTCCGCAAGTGTCGGGCTTCCGCGAGGGTTGCCATAGGCGACGGCTGCACCACACATGTTTGTAAACCCTGCGATTCACAACCCATCTGAAGCTACTGTGGTGCGCAGATCTCGTAGCGATGCCACATATACAAGAACAACGCCGCGCCAGCGCAGCGTCCGCGCAGCTGAAGACGCGCGGCCTACCGGACCATCGAGCCGGCGCCGCGAGCACCGCCGCGCCGGCGGCCTCACCTCTCGCGCCATGGTGGTGACGAACACCTGCGGCCGGGCGGTGGCGATGAGGGCGACAGCGTGGCGCGCCGTCCGCGCCGTGTCGGCCGCCGCCGCCAGCGGCAGGCCGTAGCTCATGCTGTCGGCGGGAGCGGAGCGCGGTCAGCCGGCGCCGGCGTCGGCACACGGCCACGCCGACACCGAGCCGGCGCTGCTGGGTCGTCGACACCGGGGCGCAGCCCGCCGTCCACGGCGGGACGAGCGCTCACGCCTGTGCCCCGTGACACCGCTCCCAAGGACAGCTCTTTCAACACCGGAGACGCAACACCGACCCACTTACCTTAATCAAAGATGGTCATAACCTTACGCTTACGAGGTCCACTGACAGTGACGACATGCGATTATCTTAGCGACTTCACGACAACAGCCCGAGTGACCCATTCTAACGCAGCGGCGGATCTTCCCACCCGGGAGCACTGCTCTCGGCCGTCCCCCGGGCGCCACTCACCGGGACGCCCCGCTGCCTCACCCTGTTCGCTCACCTGGGAGCCCTGCTCTCGGCCGTCCCTCGGGACGCCGCTCAACCGGACGCCCCGCTGCCTCGCTCTGCCCCGCTCTCCTGGCAGCCCTGCTCTCGGCCGTCCCTCGAGCGCCGCTCACCGGGACGCCCCGCTGCATCGCTCTGCCCCGCTCACCTGGGAGCCCTGCTCTCGGTCGTCTCTCGGGGCGCCTCGCCGCCCCGCCCCGCTCACCTCGGCGCCATGCTGTCAGCCTCGCAGCAGAGCTCCAGCATGGCCAGCAGCACCCGCGAAGCGTCGATGTGCGGCTCCCACTGGCTGAAGCCGCGCCCGATCAGGTCGATGGCGGCCCGGCGCAGCGGCGTGTGCGCCGGCAGCTTGGGAGTGGGCGGCGCCAGCAGCAGGTGCGCCAGCGCCTGGCCTGAGCGCACGGGCGGGCGACGCCGGTCAGACGCGGCGGGCGGCGGCGCGTACCCGCTCCGGCGCAGCGCACACCACCCAGCCAGTCAAAACAGGTCACGCAGGCACACAGGCATAAGCCCAGACAGACTCCGGACCAGCTGAAGCTGGTCACACAAGCGACATCTCACAGATCGCGCCCCAGTCGTCCCCAGGCCGGCCCAGCGCACCGCCCCGGCGCGGGCCGCTGCTGACCGCGGCCGCGCCACACGTCGACAGTGGCGGCGGCGGCGGCGCCAGCGGACGTACTGGTGTGCAGCGCCAGCGGGCCCAGGCCGAAGCCCTCGACGCCGTGCGCCCGACCGCCGGACACCTCCTGGCCGAACTCGGCGCCGATCACGCCCAGCAGGATGATGGCCGTGGCCTGCTTGCGGCGCGCCTCGGCCGCGTTGGCCGCCGCCCGCCGCGCCGCCTCCTCTGCCGGCCGACAGAGCGGGCTCAGCGGCCGGACACGGCGCACGACGCAGCCGTCACGTCACGTTACACACGACACGTCAGCACCCGACCACGGCGTCACGCTCTACAGCGCCCGGAGCCGCAGCAATTGTGTACGTATGTGCGTGCTGGAAGGATATCATCAAAGGCATGCGGACGTGCAGCGACCGCTGATTACTTCATAGACTCATAAATGTCTGCAATGACCAGGTACGGTCAGACACAGTTCGATCATTCTTCCCCAACACGAGAGGATCGATTGCTACGTATCAGCAAACAATGCGGCTATCTATGAGGGCCTTGCTGCCGTTGACACGGCAGGGAGGCGCACGCCAGGAGCCCCAGAGCCCAGCCCGCCCACCATCGGCACCTGTGGCGTCGATACGTCTGATTAAGAGCGCAGCTGTGACACAGAACCAAGATATGTGCGTCACAAAACCTCACTAGAGTGGCCCATTAATCCCAGGCGAACGACCAACGCTAAGCCCAGGCGGAGAGGCGACCCGAACCCCGTTACAAGCGTCCCACGCCCATGCCTGGTGGCGCTCCCTGACGTAAAGCACAGCTCTGAGTGAACATAGGTCAGGCAAAGGGACGCCCCAGACTACAAGAGAGGCGTCTTCGTGTCCTCGCCGAGGGACGCCCCAGTCCGAGGAACATGAGCAGGCAAGCCTATAGGCAGACGGAACCCCCAATACCACAAGTGCTTCCAAGCCTTAGTGAGGAGACGCCTGCAAACACCTACAGAGGAGTACCCCAAGCCTAAGTGTATGAGTGGCGCGCCAGGTCTTCAGGTCTACGGAAGCCCCAAGCCCCTCAGCGGGTGCCAATAAGCCCAGCAGGGAGGCTAAAATCGTCTATATGCTCCCCTGCCGGGACAGAGACGTCCCGCTGGTCCCCTGACGGGGCAGAGCCGAGCCTCACCCTCCATCTGGTCCTCGACGTAGTCGTCGGGCTCGCCGTCGGCGGGCTCGTGCTCGTCGGGAGCGTGCTGCGGCGGCACCACCGACGGCTGGTCGGCGTACGACGGCAGCAGCGGCGCCCACCAGTCGACCAGCGCCTTCAGGTTGCGCGGCGAGAGGCGGTGCAGCTCCGCCAGGAGCAGGGCCTGCGCCGCCTGCCGGATCTGAGCGACACACGAGCGCGGGCGGTCAGCCGCCGACGACACGCGGCACGCCGCCGCCGTGCGGCGCCACACGGCTCGCGACGCTCGGAGACAGTTTGTCACGCTCAGCAGCACGGCCGTTCGCCGTCCCGCGCAGAGCTCGGACAACCGTCATCTGCCGTACAGAACTCCATGGACACGTATCTGATCACCGACTCAAGAGATGCGAAACATAACGCATCGTCATGGATAATGGTCCCAGTTTCAAACCGCGCGCGAAGCAGGTCTTTTACATTGGTTGATAGTTTGCTGTCGTCAATAGACATAAGCCAGGGCCCTTTCAAGCTGCATAACTGAACTAATTAAGTGCCGGGCAAGGCAAACAATCGCAGTAATCAAGATGGGTTATTCCATCACTCCTCTCGCTACTTCGTCTCCCCTGATTTCAACGTCTTTACAACCCACCCAGGGTATTAGCACCAACGAGCAATACCCCAGAGCTCTCGCAGATAATGACCATGCGAGCGATTTCGGCGAAGGACACCAGGATAAGTCGCGTTACGAGATGAAGGACTCTAAACACCATAGATACATATTGGTGGAGAAAATGACCACGCGCACGCGCGCACACACAAAACACACACACGCGCGCACACACACACACACACACACACACACACACACACACACACACACACACACACACACACACACACACACACACACACACACACACACACACACACACACCACACAGCACACACGACACACACACGGACACCACGGACACACACACGCACTTAAAATGTGGATAGCTATCACGTAAGGGAGGAAAATAAAAGCAGGCCTAAGATTAAAGAATGACACCGGATAACAACATCTGATTTTACCTGTGTTCAAAACTACCAACAGCGCGATTGGTGTCCTTTGTGCTCCTATCACGTTTCTTCTAGGAACGTTGTGTTTTCGCATGCCTTAAATGCTCACATACAGACAGCTCATTAGTTAGTTCCATGCGTTCTGTGCCGGATGACATGTGGAAAATATTCATCAGCTGGTCTGCGATAAGTAAACATAGAAGTGCTTGGCAACGCTGGTGCTGACTGGCATGAGATAGTTAAACAAATATATCCTCACCACAGTCATGTAGGACTAGCCAGTTCAAGATATGCTCTATACAAAGATATGCTTGATGAGTAAGTAAATCAAAGAAAGGAACAAAATGCTGTCAAGCTTCCATATAACATCTCGAAGTTTCAGCGTTTTCATTTGTTTGCTTCTTCTTACAGCCATCTTTTTCACCTACTTCGTAGCCTCCCAAAACAAGCCACACAAATTTGTTCATTACCTCAATGCATCGGTCCTGCCACCTCCTGGCCAAAATTTCCACGAGCGGCTTCTTGAGCGCTACACCTGAAGACTCCATGCGCTCAGGGAACTGGACGCAGTGTAGTGTCGCGATCTTGCTCCAGCCCTGCAGGCCAGAACCAGCAGGACTCCCTCGTCAACCTGCGCCGATGCCCCATCAACATGGCGCACACGAATAAGACAACTAACACAAACGCCGTTACGAGTTTGGCAAGCTTGTTTGGACATGTTCTAATTGCTACGAGCATAGACGACTGGTTAAGGCCAGGACGACTGACCTCTCGAACTTGCGCCCAGAAGTTGGCCTGCAGCTCCAGCAGGCCGTCCTGTGACTTTCCGAGCGTCTGGTTCGTCTGACTATGCGATCTCGTCAGTTGCCTGGAAGCGGGGACACGACATCAGTCACGCGATCTCGTCAGCTGCCTGGGCGCGGGGACACGACACTAATCATTCGTCTTCGTCAGCTGCCTGGGGGCGGGGACACACGACATTTGTCACTCATTTTCGTCAGTTGCCTGGGGGCGGGGGACACACGACACCAGTCACTCGATATCGTCAGCTGCCTGGGGGCGGGGACACACGACACCGGTCACTCGATCTCGTCAGCTGCCTGGGGGCGGGGGACACACGACACCGGCCATTCCGTCAGCCACCAGCCAGGCAGGGAGCAAACAGCAGTCCGTTGGCGCCGGCTCAAACGGAACACGCAGTAGCAAAACACAAAATGTGCAGACCACAACGCAACACCGAACTGAGATCAGTACCGGGTTGCCTTGGAGTCCAGCATCAATAAAGCGCGATAAGTATGAAAAACCACGCCAGGCGGTGTCTGGATGGAATACTTAAGTCGGGAGAGCGTCAGTCCCGCGACCCCGGGTCAAATACTGTGGGGTTTAGGCCTGGCTCTCAGCCAGAGGTTACTCACCCCGGCCCAACTGGCTTAACATCTTTGGACTTGAGATGCCTCATTAAATCCCTAGAGCGGATCTCTTTGCTGGGCTCTAGCACACCATCAACAAGAAGAAGCAGACAAGTCATGCAACGCCACGATGAGGTACAGTTACTTGCATAACACCAAAATGACTGTGAACTGCACCAGCACGCGGCACAGCCTTCCAAGTTCTGTAATGCGGTAAAAAATTCCACCAATAAGACGGTGTCATACTATTGTCAGTCGTGTCAAAGGTGTCAATTGCTACTCACGAGAGCCTCAAATGGCGTCAATCCCCCAACTCCAATAGAACCGATTCCGCAATACTCATCTTTCCCGTCGAAATAGAGTTCGACACATAAATTGCGCCGCAATGGCCGTAGTCACAGTCGGAACTAGCCGCACAGGTTGCGAGTCAGAGTCGTGATCCATTCCGATGTCACCGAGTCAAGCACACAAAGACTGAGAGTCTTTGCGACCTCACGGGCACGTTTCAATCGCAGTTGGGACGACACAACACCCATTAACTTCCAGACAGCCTAAAGCTACCATGCCGGACTCATCAGCAGCGCCTCCCAACCGACCGCAGCAGCCGCCAGCGACGAGCCACGCCCGCCCCACACGCCAAGCCCGCCAGCTCACTTTTGCAGCCGCTTGCGCCGCTCCGGCTCGGGCACGAAGCTGGTGTTGTTCATCGACATGAGCGTGTCGGCCAGCGCGATGACGGACAGCAGGTGGGTGGTGGTGAGCGCGCTGCTCAGCTCCCAGTGCGTGCGGCGCGTGAAGGTGACGGTACGCTCGGCCAGCGGCGCCGCCATCGCCGCCGAGCCGGGACCGCCGAGGAACGTCGGCAGCAGCAGCGACACAAACCCTGCACGCACGGCGGCGCGGCGGTCAGGGCGCGTTCCGACACTCGCACTCATCCAAATTTTACGTCAAAATAAACACAATTATACATACATACATACATACAAATATATATATATATATATGTATATATACATACATATATATATACACACATATATATATATATATATATATATATATATATATATATATATACATCACATAATGTAAGCAATGCGCGACTGCTCAAGGATGCCAGACTAAATTTTGCCCCTTCTTAGGACCAAGCATGCCACAAGGGAGGACAGAGGACGTCGGGGAGAGAGTAGATGGCGGATTTCCGCCCCCAATGTAATTGTTCATCATTATTGCATGCAAACGAACCATCCTTTCAGTGAAACGTTGTCATCAAATTCTGCACCCTAAAATACATGCATCAAAACCCGACCGTCCTTACGCGCTTCGGTGTGTAAAATGGCACGTCACTGTGCGGGTGCGTATGGCACAAGACCCATTTGCGAATGTAAAGCCTGTTTAAATGGAATATTTTAACCCACGCGCATCTACACAGGCCATGCTAGATGAGATCACATACTTTCCGTGGTTACGGAACAGCTACTGCAAGCAAAGGACGTCAGCTTGCGTCCTCTTCGTACTTAACGCGCGTGATTGTTAAAAATTTGCATATCCAACAGGTCTAGTTTAGAAGTAAAGCTTTGTTGACATGTTTAACTGAAGCAGTGCCAAATCCGGTCTTATGACATACAACGTTTCAACTGATTAAGCTCGATGCAGGGCCTATCGAATTCAAAGCTGCTTTCATTGTATCGAAACCGCAACAAAGGAAAAGCGCTACAAATAACGCGCGCGCCGATATGGGTCCATTGAATTCAAAACTACTTCCATTGTTTTCAAACCGCACCAAAGGAAAAACGCTAAAAATAACGTGTGCGCATCCAGCAAACTATTTTGATGCTTCCGGTAACAGCCAGCTTACTTCAAATGAAGAAGCCGCCCAACATCAAAAGTCCACCATGGGCTGGCACTGCTTACGAAACTTAGGAAATGTAGGGAATTATTCGACGATGGAATCGCTTTTGACAGGCAGCCGACAAAACTGCGGCACAAAACTGGAACAGATTAACGAATATTTTTTTTCCAGCCCAAGCGCGAATCGACGACGACCGGTGTTTGCATCCTTTTCTAAGCACATACAATACGTGTCACATGTATTTTTTACTGATCATGTATTACGGATTACGGTGCAAACTGCAGCGGAAAAGAAAACTTTCTTACTGCAAGGCGCACAAATACAATGACCAGTAAGCCCTAATCAGATCATAAGTAGACGTATGGCTGGTGACGTGGATGATAAACGACGCTGAGCAGGTAGGATAGTACGCAGGCTGCCCCCATTTCGCCAGGTCTGCGGTAAATGAGTCCGAGGCTGCGTCTTTCAGATTATCTCCAGAAATTTTTCAAAGCGGAGTCGTTAGTCTCATACGAAATATCAAGGGATAGGGATCACTTCTGATGACGATCGTCAGCAATCACGTGGTGGGCGAGAAGAGCACGGTCTTACATTAATCAGGCCATTTTGAGCCTGAATCAAAGCCCAAGTTTCGGGTTTGTGCAATGAATGTCCGTTACGTATTTTTCCAGGCTTTGAGCGATCAGTAAGAATACAGTGTCCTGTTGGGTTCAGTCCGATTTCATAATCAAACAAACTTGCCACGTAAGTAAACCAATTGAATCTGAGCCGGATTCACGTGTAACGGGATTGAAACGCTTTAACCCAAGCCACAAAACGCTACAACCTCGAGGCAGCTTCCGAGATTCAGCAGAGCCCGTCTCCGGCGGGCGGGAAGCGCGACCGGCGCAGCCTGGCGCGGCCCTCGAGGCGGCGCCGCCGGCCGCTCGCTCACCGTGCTTGCTGATGAGGCCGTAGCAGACGGGGTGCTTGGGCCGCAACATGCCCAGCTTGGTCTCGCACAGCCGGTCGATCTCGGCGTCGACACCCCAGGCGTGCACCAGCGACAGCAGCATCTGGCAGATCTCCATGGTCTGGTTGTCCGTCTGGCCAAGCTGCACCTTGCCGCGGCCCTCCACGTCGCCATCCGAGTCTGCAACGGACCCCGACGCGTCAGCCACGGCACTCCACGTCGCCGTCCGCGCCTGCAACGGACGCCAGCGCGTCAGCCACGGCCCTCCACGTCGCCATCCGAGTCTACAACGGACGCCGGCGCGTCAGCCACGGCCCTCCACGCCGCCGTCCGCGCCTGCAACGGACGCCGACGCGTCAGCGCGACCGATCGGCGGCCGCCGTCAGCCTCACCTTCAGGCAGACGGACTTCGTAAGGCTTTGGACGGCGGAGGAACGACAACGCTGGGTGGGTTGACTCTCGAGCCCATAACACAGGAAGCCTATCACGCAGGAAACGCGTGGCGCTACTCTGCGGGTCCTCAGCCTCAAACAGGCCCATTTTCTTACCTTCCATCCGGAACAAAACCAGGCGCTAAGCAAAGCGTGGGCCGCTCATGGAAGGAAAAACAACTTCTAGAGAAACTAGCCGTACTCCCCAATGACAAAAAAATACTGTTCTGCGCTGTCACTGCCGTTTTCCATGTGGTCAGGTCTCTCCAGAAAGGGCTCCAGTGTGGTCTTTCCAAAAGGTGCCCACCAAATTTTCGGATGCTAAAGACACGACGTCCACAACATGCACCGACAAAGAGAAGACCGTTTCCGCGGCAGCCTGAGGGCGCACAGTGATACGCTGTGTACAGAATGTGGAAGCTGGCATGATGCATGCGAGGACGAAGCAAGTGTCTGAGCTTATTATCAGTCACCCAGAGTAATACCGTCAGCAAAAAGAAAGATCGGGAGCGGAATATCTATGGAAAATGCCATGTTTCAAACTATCGGGACGACATGTTATCTGGACGCGGATGATTACGATGTTTCCGGTGACTCCCTTCCGGTAGATGCCTTTTTTCAGGTGCGCTCTTAAAGTCAGGCGCATGCCAAAACAAACTGACGCACAAGAACCAGCATTTCGAGCATTTGCCCGACCGAGAGTCATACCTCAACCACTGACACCGCGATATCAAAAATGATCAGATCAATGTGACCATTGATCAGTGATCAACCACTTAACCCGCACTGACTTGTTTGGGAATGTACTGAAGATACTACACAAATCACTAAAAATAAGGCTCAACACCTTGGGGAAGGGGGTATCCTGCATGTGTCTGGCATTTCATTCGGAACAAAACAAACAAAACAAACGTTTGACAGTGGACCCAACATGCGCTACTAACAGAAAAGAAAACGTCGGACCAGAGCGGCAATTGCGCCACGGTCTATCCCAGTGTTTTTTTATTACTCTGCAGCGTCTTATCGACGAGATGTTAACATATACCATTGAGGGTGCACAACATTGCAGGCGTTTCGTTCCAACGTCGGTGTTTTTGTTCTTGGCCTAAGTAGTCACAGCCTGCTTCTGTCAGCCTGTCTGCTTTAACTGCGTCGGACGGCATAGCTGCGCTGGACGCCTCGTTAGCCGCGTCAGCGGCAGCCACGCCGTGACGGGCAGACCAGTGAGCGCGAGACTTCCTCCCGTCGCCGGACGGCAGCGTCGGCCACATCGCACATCGGGCCGCACCGTCCAGGCCGGCCAGGTGATCCGGTCCGGTCCACTGGTCAGCTGAGCCGAGCCGGACCGGGCCGGCCGCCAGAACGCTGAGTTACGGCAGTGGGGGAGTGGCCTCGGCGGCGCGCCACACCCGCCCCGCCCCCGTGCCTCGGGACGCGCCGCGTGCCCGGGGGCCGATCGGCGGCGCCGCGACACAAAAAGCGCAGCCCTGAGCCGGCGGGAGCTGGCGGCGCGGCGGACTCGGCAGGTGGTGGGCGGCGGGGGTGCGAGGGCTCCCGAACAAACTCTCGAATAGAGAGACCATTAACCAAATGTGGCTTTGTAGCACCTGGATTTGTCTTTTAGTACTGTACATTAATCACTTGATGCTTCTAAATTGCGACGGTATGAATTGGGCTGCGTTCGCTTGGGCAGCTAGGTAAAAGGGTCTCGTTAACACCCTCAAGTCTACCTCGAGCCGCACTGGCCCTATGATCTGTATTTTCGGAAATACAAGCAGCTTGTCATTTGCCGTCCGGACATGAGCGGCGCGACACGCTCTGAACCGGCGAGATCAATCACGCCGTATGCCCTTGGGTCAATTCCGGGACACAACAAAGCACTGCCATTACTATTGTGAACTGAACAGGTCGATCAGAGTGCTGGTGTTGCGTAAACTGAGAGCCTAACCTCGATCCACCCGCTCGCTCCGAGCACTGGGGTCACATGGCCTGAGAAGCTGACATCGGTTCACCACCTCGAGGCGTCGGGTCATCACAAATAACGTGTGTCCGGGGAGCTACAATGCAAGTCTCTGAAGGACGCGACCCACAGCCGGCGCCGTCGACGGAAGGGGGACCGACGGCGCGCGACGTGCGCGCGTGTGGCGTCCACGTCCATCAGACGACCATCCGTGGCTACGGCGCTGTGTCCGAGACAGCCCATTACCGGCCGTTTTCCGACCGCCGCGACCTCGGCTCGTTTCGGTCCAGCAGTCACACCGAAGTGATGGAAGTCGAGGCCTCGGACTCGGCATGGCGCGCGTCGTCCCGACCGACGCGTCAGCTGAGACGCGCCGGCGGGCGGTTGGGCCCGCCATGAAGGTCGCCGGAAGAGAAGGGGCGCTTTGAGAGGTGTCGAAAAACACCTGTTAGTTCAATGGTTCGAGTTTTGAGACTTTCCTGAATCAGTTTTGCCGAGTGGTTCGTAATTATCTTGATGAATTTCATATTTTTTGTTTTTGTTTTAAGATGGGCTCTATGGAAGGCGAGTACCTCATAATGATCCTTCCATTGTAGGGATATTTTGTCCACAAGGTTACGGCGGACAGATAGTCAGCAAGTAAAGACCATGTTAGTTGACAGAAACAAAGACAGAGGACATAGACCATAGACAGAGACAGACACGAAGACGGAGACGGAGATAAAGGGGAGCGGGAAGAGAGAGAGAAAGAGAGAGACGAGAGAGAGAGAGAGAGAGAGAGGAGAGAGAGAGAGATAGAGAAGAAGAGAGAGGAGAGAGAGAGAGAGGAGAGGAGAAGAGAGAGAGAGCAGAGCAGAGAAGAGGCAGAGCAGAGAGAGAGAAGGAGAAGAGAGAGAGAGAGAGAGAGAGAGAGAGAGAGAGAGAGAGAGAGAGAGAGAGAGAGAGAGAGAGCGAGAGAGAGAGAGAGAGAGAGGAGAGAGAGAGAATAGAGATAGAGAGAGAGAGAGAGAGAGAGAGAGACAGATAGAGAGAGAGACGAGAGATAGAGAGAGAGAGAGAGAGAGAGAGAGAGGAAGAGAGAGAGAGAGATAGAGGAGAGATAGAAGAGAGAGAGAGAGAGAGAGAGAGAGAGAGAGAGAGAGAGAGAGAGCAGAGAGAGGAGAGAGAGAGAGAGCGAGAGCGGAGCGAGAGCGAGAGCGAGACGAGAGCGAGAGAGAGCGAGAGCGAGAGCGAGAGCGAGAGCGAGAGCGAGAGCGAGAGCGAGATCGAGAGAAGCGAGAGCGAGAGCGAGAGCGAAAGCGAGAGCGAGAGCAGAGCGCGAGCGAGAGCGAGAGCGAGAGCGAGAGCGAGAGGAGCGAGAGCGAGAGCGAGAGCGAGAGAGAGAGAGAGGCCGACCCCGTACTAAAAGCTCACCACCAATGCCAGTGGATTAGAATGCT